TCTTTACAAGAAAATTCAATTAAAAACAACAGCACCGTTTTAGTTCTGATTTGGCCAAGAGTTGATAACAATGGTTAGATTTTCTTTCATTTCTTAAAGACAGATTCCATGGAGGGAGCTTGTTTTCACTGTGGGTGCTAGTCTCTTGTGGGGGGGGGGAGGGCGGGCGGGCGGAGATTGCATCTGGCCCATGTGTGGCCCCTTGGGAGTTGCCACCTGGGGAAAGTTTCCTGATGTTTTTGTGACGTTCACTTGGGCTCTGTGCCACCTGCTTCTGGTACTGTGGCATTTAGTGTCCACTCGGGTCCCAGCGGATGTCCTATTCAGATGGTTCAGACCCATGTGGAGGAATTGTCAGGCCCCTGTGCTGGTCTGCAGCCCTGGGATTTAGCTCCTAGAAGAAACTGCTGTTGACTTTCTCTTTGGTGTTTGGAGAGGAGAAAAGTCTATCTTGCCCTTGTCCTTATCTTTCTTACTGCACCCATGAGGAGGTCCAATTGTTCACCTGAATCCTTTCACATCAAACAGTGAGTTAGGGATTAGTGTTGGAGGTGGAAGGCTGACACTTAGGCTAGTCTCCAGTACATTTTTAATCTCTGAGGCCAAACAGGCTTTCGGTTTGTTTGTTTTGTTTTGAGACAGGGTCTTGTTAAGTCCCTCCGAATAGCCTTGAACTTAAGGTCCTCCAGACTTAGCTGCCCCAGTGCTGGGATTACTATGCCCATCAATCTTCATAATAAATTTGACAAAACATTGAAAGGGTTTTAGGTAATTAAGGCACCAAGTGTGGTCTACATTCTAAAGGGGTATCTGGAGCTCCTGAGGAAAGTATGAGGATTGAATTGCTGGAACAGAGGCAATGGGGGCTTGCATGGAAATTGTCCTAAAGGAGCAGCTCCACTTACATCTCCTCAGGATCATTGTGCACCTGTTTGCTCCTGAGGCCACGGCAGAAAGATTCAACCTTTGAGTGAGAGCCTTTCATTTCCTCTCTGCCAACATTTGAATGCCTACATGTGTTCTGTGCACACGAAGGTCAGGTATTAGAGACTGAGGTAATATGGTATATTTCTAAACAGATAGACAAGGAACTCAGATGCTGATCTCTCTATTAACCAGCTGTGTGATCAAGATATTTGCTTACCCTCCCGGAACTTTCCTTTGCTGGTCTGTGAAGTGAAGGGTGGGGTTGACTCATCTCAAAAGTGTTTTTCCATTTGAAGTCTCTGAGTCTGTGGTTACTTCCTCTTCACCAACAGTCAGACTTGACTAGAAAGAACTCTGTTCACTTACAAGTTTTTGGTGCAGGCACAAAGGTGAAGTTCTACTATGGTGGAATCTATCACTTTTCCCTGGGATAAGGAAAAGCCAAAAATAGACCTAAGTTACCAACTGATGCTCAGATTCAGGGCCACTGCTATCTTAACCAGCACCTTGAAGAGGGTTAGAAAGAAAGAGTCCGCTAAGTTAACTGCACTGCAAGTGGCACGCACCAGGGACTAGCAGGTGGAGTCCTGACTGCTTTCCGTCCCCATATGTCCCCAGAGTCCTTGTGTAGTAAACAACACGGTACATGGGTATGTATCAGCAGGATGTTCATGTGCATGGGTATCAGTGGGATGTTCATTTCTTTGAGATCTGGCCACTTTAGAGAAGGAGTAGAAAAGGACAAGGCTAGAATTGATGCACACTACTGATCCAACCAAAAGAGATTTTCATCATTACTGCCTTAAAATGTTTCAGGCAATTAAAAAATCCCAAGTTGAGGCCTATGATGCTGCCTAGATCCTGTGCCTGCTCAGCCTACCTGGGTAGCTTCACGGGGTAAGATTAGTAATAATGGTAATTAATAATAATAATGGTAACAGTATAAACCCATACATTTTATAGAGTCTTACATAGCACATTAAATGTTCTTTCTTTTTCAGTTGAAGTTTGATTCTAACCATTGCCCTGGTGAGTAATAATTTTCCTCATTTCAAACACAAGCTGAGTGATTCACAGTCTTGTTCAAGGGCAGCTCATAAGTGACAAGCCAGGAATCGAACCAACATTTGTCTAGCACCAAATTCAAGGTTCTTTTCTTCCTAGCAAGTTGCATTATATTGTGATCTGAACGTGGCCTTGGCATCAATACTTAAAGAACAACTCAGTAAGGGCCTGGATTTCTCCTGAGCAAGTCATCCTCCTCCTTTTAATGAGGTCAGGGCTGACTAAAGTCAGGTGTGCTGACTAAAGATTTGAGTATGCATGCTGAGAAACCTTTGCAGATCTCATAACTGAACTAAATACTCATCTTTCATAAGGAAGAGTGATTCCCAGAGATGAGCTCATTTAGAGAAATTTACCTGTGTCACGTGTGTACTATTAACTCAGAAATCTCTCCACCAATTTAGGAGTTACTCAGCCATACACCTTGGGGAAGCCTTAAGTCTGAGGAGAGCCGTCTCTCCAGATGGTATGAAAATAATAGCCACAGGCCACCACCACTAACAGAGTCAAGGCCTTTCAGCCTCATTGTGAAGGTGTCATTCTTACCAGGCCTCTTCAACCATATTTTGAAGGACAGCTGGTGAGATGGTTCAATTGGAGCAACCTTGATCCCTGGATGAGTCCCCAACCTGTATATCCAACTGTCAATCACCCAACTCCACCTGAGCCTATCCAAATTAAATACATCTAGCATGTACAGTGCCCCCTTCTCCCACAGCCTGCTTTCCAATCTAGTCTCTTTTAGCTGCTATGATTTCCATGCATGGCACCATGGTACACCTTCTAATCAACCTCTGCCCTTTCTGCTTCCCTTACATTCTCTTGCTCATGAACTGCTTTCAAGTCTATTTTCTAAACCCCATCCCTTCTTTCCTCAGTTTCTACTGCTGCGGTGGAGATCCTCATTGCCATCACTTTTCATCTCTTCCTCGCCAGCCTCCATTTCTCATTAATTCTTAATCCAAACACAAATCTCACGGTGCCCTTCCCTGCTTAAAGAATCCAACTGCCTTCCCACTGCTGCAGGAGGGAGCTATCCTCGGTGATGAAGCACTTTAATCCCCGTACATGCGGTTCCCCCAATCTGTCACCCACTTCATGTTTTTTCCCTTGGTCTAAAAATCCCCCCTTCCCTGGGAACCCTGATCGGTTTCAAGGCCTTGCTCACGCTTCACTTCTCAGGTGTTGACTTGCAGGCCATTTCTGGGGGAGGAAGTTCTGCTCCCTCATTTGCATACGTTCACGGCTCTTCTCAACCATAGTTTGTTTCTGTAGCATCTCTTTTCCAGACTGGGACTCTCCACATGCAGAAAATATCGCATTCAGTCTCTTGAACACCAAGGCCCCGGCCTATCCTTTTCAGATTATAGTAGGCAAAAGTAATAAAGAAGGACTATCTGGGCTGGATATACTCTTTCTTTGAAAAAAAAATCAGTAAATGTGCTTTTCTTGTGGTAGTAGGTAGCAGGTGCCCTACGACTTGAACCATGCCTCCAATTCTTTATGTCTTTGTTGTTTTTCAGGGAGAGTGGCTGTGGCCTTCCACCGTAGCTGTGACCAACCCTAAAGCAATGGTACCCATTATTGAAACAGGGTGTTATTAGTTTTTTGCATGGGCTGACCCCAAACCTCAAACCTCACAATCTCTGCCTGAATTTCCTGTTTAGTAGTTGTTCTCTTGAGTTAGCCCTGAGGGAAAAGTTAGCCCCCCCTTTTTTTTTCATTCCAGAAGCTGAAAATTAACAAGGTGTGAAGGCTGGAGAAACATTTGCTTTGCAATATGTCTCTTTCCCAGAACTTCATCTAGAGTAGGGATAGAAAGAAAGAATTTCAGATAAAAGGAGGGTCAGATTTTCCAATACAACCACCTTACCAGTTCATTACTGTACACATCAAGCCAAGTGGCTGATGGAGCTGAATCCCATTAGAGGCCGGTGAGACCTGGGCAAATTCTTTAAGTAGAACTTGCACACCAGGGGCAAGAGGGTTAAGAATAAGAACCAATGCTATTTTCAGTCCTGCTCCAAGTAAATCACGGCTCTTCCATTAACCAATAGGATTTCAGGCTGAGGATTCCATACATTAAGCTTTGGGTTCTTATGAGCTTTAGATAGGTGAATAGTCCTGGAAGTGCTCTGGAAAGCAGGTGCTTCTGAGATGGTTAAGTTTCCTCTCCACTGGCTTAGATATTATTAATTATTATTATTATTATTAAATTGGGACAAGTACTGGTCTCTGCTTTGGTTTGAGTTAGGCAGGGCTGGTTTTTACACTAGCTAACAACAACCTTTTACCTAACTCTGCTGTCCCAGAGCTTTTATGTGTTTGTTTTAAATAGAAATCCACGGTATTTTCACAAAGCCCTCAAAAATACTAGGGAAACGGGTCTTGTTCTACTCCCAAGGTGGGGGAGGGAGCCTGAGAGTAGCCATTTAGCCAGTCAAAAAAAAAAGGTTCAGAACCTATCTGTGCCACAGTGGATCCCCTGGCGGCTGGGAGCAGTGGACAGGTCCCGCTCCACCCTTGGCGCTAGCCAACTTTGGTTTATTTTTTACATTTAGGCTCGTTTGTTAGCTCCATTGAATATTTGGGTTTCTACACAATGATAACATCAGAGCCCAGGACGCTTTGGGAAAAGCCTGGGGCCTTGATTCTTTTTATTTGTATTATTTTTCTTGGTAAGAGACAGAACACCCATCTGTCCCTTTCCAAGTGCCAGCTGTGGTGCACTGGATTTGAGGTCTCCACGCCGCACTCTGGGGGAGAGGAGCTCCTGTGGGCTCAGCCCAGAGGCAGATGGCCTGCGGGGAACCCTGGCTTAAGGGGTTAGTTACAGACCGAGAGTCTACCGAGCACCCCGAGCACCCCGGGATCGCACGTCTGTCCGGGACGGATCTCACCCGGGGAGGAGTGGGAAGTCTCCCTCTCAAGAGAAGGCAGTCTGAAATGTTATTGGGGGGGGGGCGCAGAGAGAAGTGAGCAGAACCGCAGAACGTGCGGACACTCACCTTGGGTCGGGCCGGAGGGCTTCCTGCAGGCGTGGGTCCGCGCCGTCCCGCAGGATCGGTGCGGGCGACCCGGGCTCCGGGGACGCTGTCGGGGCTCCGCGCGCGGCGCCTACCTGCGGC